TTTATATTAGGAGATACGGATCTGGTGGTTCATGAACTGAGTTGAGGCGTTGAACAGTTCAGTTTTGTTCCCGAAAGATGTTGCAACAGTTCCTTGAAACTAAACTGAGCTGCTAGGATAGTTGGGGCGAACGAAACTGAACTGTTCCTACAGTTAAGCTCAGCTCAAAAGAACTGTTGCAGCAGTTATTTTGATACGAGCTGATCGATTCCAATTGCTAAATAAATCATTTGAATCTGTTCGTGAGCTGAAACTGTCGTAGGTCTACTGGTTACTTGTAAATATGAGTACATCAGTATTATATCATTAACCCTCTCTCTTGATTTCTTAAAGTCAATCTTAAGCTTGGTCAAATTAATCAATGTTGCTTTCGAAGGGTTTCTGATAGCATTTATTCTTGATCCTGGTATATTCAGGTGAATTTCGGTAGCTCCTGGTAGATTCTGCCGGCTCCTAGCGATTTTTGATAGATTCTATGGATTCTAGAATCCATAAGGAGCCGTTTTCCCCCTTGATTACTCTACTCTTATACTGACTATAATATACCCTTTCGCTGATAGCATTGAATAATCAACACTTGAGCATAGAATAGAAAACTCTTTTCTAGAACCGTACAATGAACTATCCTTTATTGTCGAATGATAAGCCATTTAGAGAACAGCGTACATTAGGCTGCGCTCTAAAAAAATAGATTTATTACGGAACCTATGTTTCGGGAAGAACCTTTGAGGTTTCCTATGAATCTACCTAACTTTTAAAAGTTTTTGCATAAATATTCAAATCTTCTTTAGGTTCGGTAGATTCATACGAAGCCCAAAGGTTCTTCCCCTAAATACAGGTTCCGTAATAAACCTAGTTTTTTTACAGTGTATCCATTGTCATCAAAATGGTGTTGCTTTTGGTGATTAATCGCGATCTGAGAACAAAAATCGCCAATTAATTGCGATTAATGGACGACTCTGAAACAAATTTCAGCAGCAAGTACTAATTTACAAAAATAAGTCTGTTTTTTTCGTTTATTTAAATCGTCCGAATATCTTAATGAACGGTAAGCATAAATTTAATAAAAAATTCTTTTTTTCTTTTTTTAGTTTATTATAACATCTCAATAAACGGTAAGTATTAGTCAATAAAATAATGTTTTATTCTTTTATTGAGATCATCTGATCATCACAATCAACGAGTAAGAATCATTGTATACGCATATATTCGTTTTTCTTTAGATCGTCCAATGGTCTCAATGAATAATAGGTATTATTTTATTTTTTTGTTTTATTTACTGTGAATGGGAAGAACGATATTGTCTCATTCGCGAGTAGGAGTGTCGACTTAGCAGAAGCATTAGTATAATGCTAAGAGCAACACTTGTTACGATTCTAAGAGAAAAATATTGCAATTTTTATTAATTAATGTAATGTTAAAACGAAACCGTATCCCTGAGTAATGTCGATACTCTTTTCTGATATTTTTAATACAGAAGCATTGTAGATACTCTTAAATTGATGCAATATTGCATTGATTCAATAGTAGTTACTGTGCTTTTGAAATAAAACTGGAGCAGAAAAGAATTGAAATTAGTCAGGGACGCTTCTTCGCTTTAGCATGACAGCAATCAATACAAAGTTCAATGCTTTTCTCTTATGATCGTAACAGAAAGGTATTGCTGCTAGTATTAATTTAATGACGATTCTAAGCCGACAGTCCGATTTGCGAGAAACATGTATGAATACGATGGTAAATAGGTCGAGACCTAGTCATAGTCGTAGGTCCAAATGCCATGACCTGGTTCGATCATTAGAAATGTGATTTGAATAATCGCGCTTTCGTTTAAGAATCGCAAAGAAAATCCGGAAAAATCGGCAAAAATCGCCAGTCTAGACGATTAATCGGCCTAATAAATCGCGATAAAATCGACGACTTTTTGCGTGATTTTGACGACATGGGTTATAATCAAAATGAAAAATTTCTTTAACTCCATCTAATCAATTTTGAAAGGTTACAAAGAAAATTGTAAAAGATACGGTCATTTTTCACTCTTCTGATTTCGATTTATTTTTTCTATCGAAGTAGTTCATCGCATTGTTCTCATTTTTTCTGACAACTTTCGAACATTAAAACAATTGCTTTGGTATTATCACGTTATTGGCCAATGGTTTGTTTTCTGTACAACGTACTTAATTTCGATAATAAACTTAACTATCATGAATCATTACTCCACTGTTATACTAAGTAATTAGAGCAAGTTTCGTTTTAGCCCTCTCTTACTGTCCATTAGAATAAGTCAAGAGCATGTCTTTTTTTGAATATTGCGGAGAACTTAACAACGCTTGGTTGAAAATTCTTCAAGTTTTTGTTTTGTTCTGATTTTTTAATAACCCATCGGAATAAATCAAAAGGATTTTTTCATACAGCTGTTATAAGAAAATTCAACGGTACATCTTTTGAAAAAATCCAAAATTTAATGGTTTGTTTATAAAGAATTATATGCATAATAAACTATGTTGCAAACATAGTTTGATACATTTGTTAAATGAAAATTTATTAAAATTCATAAAAGATCTTCTAGATTCAAAACAAAAAACAATACAAATATTTATATCGATGCATTTACTCGTAATGACCATTTTTTGTTTTGATCGTTAAAATCTAAATGAATGAAAAAAAAGACTAAAATAATAGAATAAAATTCAAATCTACTCACAAACAAGGTTGTGTTTCTCAAGCATTTGTAAATGATTACAAACATTATGGCAAGCAGCAGAAAATAATGCTTCTGGTAAGTCCTGAAAAGACAAAAGAAAAACAGATATCGGTACAATTAACTTATGAAGAACTTAAATTAGAAAAGGTTTCATAGCCATAGTTTTATGTTTTTTAATGCGCAATCGAGAGAGAAAATGAATACAGGACAACAATTTATTTTTGTAAATGAGTTGGAATTAAGGTAACGTAATCTCGTACATCTCTAGTCACATCACATATAGATGTTAATTATAATTTCAGAGTATTTGAAAATTATAATGTTGCCTCCGTTCCTTTTTTTATTGTTATTTGCTTTGCCAATAGTAGACATATCCTAAATAGTAAAATTTAATGATTCTCAATAAAAATTTTCATGTTTAAGATTTACATTTAAATAAATAAGAAAAGTAGTAACGAAAGAAGGAAAGTATCTATTATGATCTTGTCTTTTTTTGTTAGTAGCAAAGAAAATCCTTTTCTTTTCCATGAACAATTCACAGTTCATAACTTTAGTATTGTTTTTAACGATTCTTAATCCGTTTTTCTTGTTATGGGATTTGATAAGATGAATGAAGCATCTCTTAATAATCGAGTATAATATTCTGATTATGATATTTATATATTTGATATTATACTTCGTAAATATTCAAATAAGTATGAACATTTCATTAGATAGCATCGTATAATAGGAAAACGTACGCAATTCGATTAATTGCTATGAGAAATGGTAAATGTTATTTTTTTAAATCTCCTAAAACAAACTCCTGTGAAATTCTATACATTACTGTATAAACAATTTTTGTTATTTCACTTGGATCAAGTCCATCACTAGATTGTTTTAATGCATCAAGAATTTGATTACTACGTTGTTGACGATGAGATATGTAATGTGCAAGAGTTTCTCTAGGATTTTCAACGACTGGACCATGTCCAGGATAAATTTTTGTTGGTGAAAGATTAAGAATAAGTTTAAGAGAATTTAAATAATCATATAAATCTTCAAATTCAGTTGTACCTTGACCAAGTATGGTATCACCAGAAAATAGAGCCCGTTCTTCTTCAAGCCAATAACACAGATGATCAGTTGTGTGACCAGGAGTATGAATAGCTCTTCAATAAAATACAAAATAATGTATCAAATATATAAAAAAAAGAATCACTTTAAATGTGCTCCTTCAGTTTCGATTGTAAATTCGTCTGTACCATTATTAATAAATGTAAAATTAGCGACTTCATCTGGATTTTCTGGCATACAATATTTTTGAAGCGTTGTTGAATTTGGCATTTCAACAAGTTTACGTTTATAAACAGGCAAATCAGCTAGAAAAAATTGAATATTTAATAGTAATGTATTATTTCAAGATTTACGTTTATTAATCAATTTCAGAATATCTTTAATACCATAAATATGATCAGGATGCCAATGTGTAATAAGAATTGCTTGCAATCCAAGATTATTTTTTGCCATTGTATTTTTAAGTTCATCAACATAAGCTGGAACACCTTGACCAGCATCAAGTAAGATTCGACTGAAAATTATAATACAAATCTACATATGAAATATTCATATATAATTTATTGAATATTTTTTAATATGATGTCTCTTTGAAAAAACATACTAAATACACTCCACAAGTTTAATCTACTGTCACTCTAATCTTATAAAATTCTGTAGACTATATTTCTATAAGTATAGAACGATTACGTACTTTCGACCTTTACCAATAAGATATGTATTTGTACCTTGTAGTGTCATCGGACTCGGATTACAACCAAGCACGCGAAGAACCAATGGTGAAAGTTGTTCGATAGTTTGAAGTTTAACAAGATTAGTTGTCATAATGAATTGAATTTTCTAATTAAGAAACAAATATTATTTTCTTTAAATATTTTTCAGTTTTATGCTAAATATAGCGATTTTTTATTAAAAAAAAAAGAAAAAGAAATCTCAAACTACTTTAAATTACATGATTATGTATAACATGGACGGAAGAAACAAAACTGTAAAAAATTAATATTGTTTGAATCACTTAAATCATTGATTTTAGATTGCTACCATATAGTAGTTCTGAACTTGTTGCTTTTAACGCATCAGTTTTTTCTTCAATTAATTCTTTTTGTGTTTTATCAATCATTTCTCGTGACCAATCATCCAATTTAAGATCTTGAACAATTGAAAGTTTGCCATTTTTAATACGTACTGGATAACTAAATACAAGTCCTTTTTCAATATCATATGAACCATCACTAATTATACCCATAGAAACCCATTCATTCTAAAATATATATATATATTCTATAAGAAAAAAAAAACCAAAGTCAATAGTTCCACGTGAAAACTTTACTTGTTTAACACGTTTAGATCATAATCGTGCAAAATCTCAAATAGCATCCAGGCTTAAAGTATCACCAGATGTAGTCAAAAATGTTATTATTTGGNACCAAAGTCAATAGTTCCTTATCATACATCTTTTGTTCCTTGCCACCAATCTCGCATATGATCACAAATAGCTTTAGCTGCTGACATGGCACTTGAAAGTTTACGTGCAGCAATTACAGCAGCACCACGTTTTTGTACAGTCTAAGAAAAAAAACAATTATTGTTCGATTTCATCAATCAATCTTTTCATACGGAAATAAATTCATTTTTAAGCCAATTATCATTTTGAACAGCTTCATAAACTGATGTTTCTTTACCGTTAACAATCGCAGTTGCTGAGCAAACATCAGGAAATTGTGTTGATGAATGATTACCCCAAATAATAACATTTTTGACTACATCTGGTGATACTTTAAGCCTGGATGCTATTTGAGATTTTGCACGATTATGATCTAAACGTGTTAAACAAGTAAAGTTTTCACGTGGAATTGATGGAGCATAATGAGCCAAAATATAACAATTCGTATTAGCCGGATTGCCAACAACAAGAACCTAATGAAATATATTTCATGAATTATGTATAGAAATAAAGTATATATATAAATACTTTAACAGATTTTTTTGCAAACTTATCAAGAGCAATACCTTGTGATTTAAAAATTTTCACATTGGCACTAAGTAAGTCTTTACGTTCCATGCCTTCTTTACGTGGCATAGCACCAACAAATAAAGCAATATCAACATCTTTAAAAGCTATTTCTTCACTATCCGTTGGTATGACATCTAAATTAATTAAAAAGTACAATTTTCTATCATTCATAGATGACTATACTTTTTACTAAAGGCAAACTAGTATCTTCAATTTCCATGATAAGACCTTGAAGTACACCCATCATTGGTGTAATATCAAGTAAATGAAGAATAATACTCTGAATAAACATACAACTATTAAATATTTTAGTAATTTTGAAATAAACTAAACTAACTTGATCTTTTCCGAAAACATCACCATTACAAATTTGATGAATTAATGAATAAGCAATTTGACCTGCAGCTCCAGTTATTACTATTCGAATTGTATTTTTAATGTCCTTATTCTTACAAATAAATCGTTTTTGCTTAGATGAGATATAAAAAGAAAAATTTTTCCTCTCTTACTGATGATGCCATTGTTAATCAGTTAATATTTAAATGAAATCTTAAAAAGGAAAACAAAATAATTTATTAGAGTCCATTTGATTGTTTTATATTATTAAAATGAAATACAAAGTTCAGGATGACAAGAATAAAAAAGTAAGATATTATCAAGTTGCTATTTAGAGTCTGTTCGAAAATAATATTATTTAATATGACTTTTTTACTCAAATAATTATTTACAACAAAATCTTTTATCGAATAAGCTAACTATAATACAAAAAAATCTGATCGATAGATAGTACATTTTCAAATTCATATTTTGATGACTGAAATAAAATCGAATTATTGATAAGATAGATCAATGTCGTACAGTTCCTTATACGTTTCAGTTTTTCAAACAAAGAGTCATATTCATATATTTCTTTAATCCTTATTATTTACTTTCTATCAGAAATATTTATATTTGAATGCTCTAACGTTATTTCTAAATAATCTTCATTGGTTTATCATACAACCAATAGTGTAAGCAAAGTCAGCTGTCCTGTCCTAAAATACCTAAAATATTATTTCTTTTCAGTACGCGTTCACTTCGTTATCATCATCGAACAATGGCACCTAATGATTAAAATTCATTTCATCGTTCTAATATTTTTTCACATTCTGTATTCAGTCTAATAGTGAATGTAATAACATGGATCTTATTTCATGTGATAAGATTCTTGTTGAATACCTTAATTCTATCTATGGTGAACAATTATCAAGTACATGTTAAATGCTTAATGGTTCATGTTTAAATAATTAGTATGGGGTCAGAACAAATGGAGTAGAGACAGAATAATAAAATAGTAGCGAAAAAATGCACTTGTATGCGCCATCTGGAGTCTCGATAAGGAACTAATATTATGTGAACAATAGAAAATATGAAAAAGTATTCTCTTTCCAACTACACATAAGATTTTAGTTCAAAAAGTATCTCATGTAAACAGATGACATAATGTATCATCTTCATTAGGGTATCTCCTTAGAATCGTGACATTAAATGGCGGACAAGAGATATCATAAGTTTTTTTTCAATGTACATTCGCTTAATTAAAGCTAACTTCGTTGTTTATTATAGATTCAGTTCAATACTGTTTCTTTTGTCTATGATAAAGTGGTGACCAGAAGATTTGTCAAAAGATGAAAATTAGACCTTTTGTCTGCATTCATATTGAATAAGTAAAAAAAAAAGATGTTTAATAGGCACCAATAATATACAAAATCTATAATACATATATACAATTGTTTTGTCAGACATGGAGAGAACGTCAACGATTTTCAATGAAAAATTTCTATGAGTTTAAAATAGTCATGATTGAATCCTTTGTCGTCATCTGCCAACGATGATCTCGGCAATGCAATTTTAATCCGCCAAACAAATTATACAAAAATGTTGTCTCGCTTTATGACTTCAATGGCAAGAATGAAAATCTTCAAGAAAGTGTTCTCACACATGACTCTCTTCCAAGCGCATATCGTGCTGCTGCTGACGTAGCAGCTAACACCAGTTACATTTCTTAATTCAGTTTTAATTCATTGAATCTGTTTGGAGTCAAAAGTCACGTTAAAAGTTTAAAACATCCATGAAACTATAGATTCATCCTTTGCATCCATTATTGAAGTAACCAATGAATTCATCAGATATTGAGGCACTCGTTCAATAGAAAACGTTTTGATTAACATGATTCTCTATAAACTATCTTGTCAAGATATATTATTCAAATTATTTCAAATCAATGAATAAGATATAAATAACCATGAGACTTCAATTATATTCATCACTATCTGAGAGGTGTGGCTGTAGATTTCTGAGTGTGATCATTTGAATAGTGAAGACAACATCACACCCACCCATTCTGAAAAATAGACATTGCTTCCATCGTTCTCACACCATCAAGTAGGTAAAATACGTCATAAATTCACGATTCACAGACTGGCGTTCCACTATCAATACAACTATACTCATTTAATCAATTTTAGTTACAGGGTACCATTTGGCATTCTAGCGCATTGTATACAGTCGTTTGGGTACGATAGACTGACTAGACAGTACACCATGTTGCTCACGACTAGACGCTTTGCATGCTTCTGTCTCGTTCTGTTTTACCAACGAATTTTAAAAGGATTAATTAGTGTCTTTTATGTTTTTGGAGTACTCCTCAACGATTGGAATGATACAGCATGCATTTAGAAAATTTCTGATAGACGCTCGCATAGGCGTAAGCAGCCGCACACGATTGCCGTATTCGTGTCGATCGTGTATCAATAAGCATAAGACTAGAAAAGTAAATTCGTAAGAGATCAAATACAAGTTGAGTAACGTCTCCCATTTAAAGAAAGTACAACTCATCAATAGTGTTTGAAAACTTATATTTGCTTCAGATTTGATTCGATTATTTCGATTTAATAGGTCATCAGATAATAAACTATATTTGTAGCAATAATTAAATGAGAACTATTTCACACGACCAATTACTCCATCAAACCTTAGTCGAAACTTGTCTAAAAAGAACACAAAAAATCCAAAGTTATCAATATACATATTTTACCACGCAACGAATAAAATTTAACCAAACGCAAAGTTAACTGTGGTTGTTATAATCACACTTTCACATATATTCAACAAACATCTAAAAAATTTTCATTCATATCGAGCAAAATTATTCCAACTCTTATTACATTACTAGTTGAACTTATCTACCGAATTCTTGATCATCTTAATGATTTTAACATTTTATGCTCGACGCGAAACGTTTATGTACGTATGAATGCAATTGCCGATAGTTATCATCGATATCAGGTAAAACACTATTATATCTGAGAATTTGCCTTACATCATTGTCAATACATTATTTATTTGTCTAACATATCAATTTCTATGCCGTATTACTAGATGGAACCGAAAATTGTACGATTTGTTGAAAACTACTTATGCTTTAAGTTTCAGTGGAGAACTCTGTTTGATCAATGATTATAATTGAAGTTAATTAACCCACGCGACTTCTAGGAACCCAAAAATCAAGAGAACGAGTATCATTCATTAGAATGACGACCACCTAAAGAATAATGAGCAAATCATACTTAAGAATTACATTTCAAAAACTGTCGCTGAAACTCAAGTAAAAAAACGTTGCTAACATCGATAATTTTCGGGAACAATCTGTATCAAGCATTATTGCATTACTGATACACAGCGATAAATGACCACTTTCTTTATAAAATGTGTCAGCTAAAACAACGCACTCAACTGTAGCAACGTTGAAAAACCAAACCATAGAGTCAAA